ATAGGAATGTTAAATTCAACAAAGAACACAATCTTTATTTCACAACACGATATATCTCGCAATATACTTTTATTCAATAACGATGTGAATTTTAAGCACATTTTCGATATTTCGATAGGATTACAGCGTTTTCTGTTCGGGTTGAAGCGGCCACTTCAGGTTCAACCCGGACAGAAAAAAGTGTGACACAACTACGTAAGTGTGTGGTGACGTAGTTACGCAGAGCTCATGTCCAGGAGGCGTTAGTTTTGTAATAAAAATTAAAAATTTTTAAAAAGGTGTTAGTGGTAGCAGGCTAAGCTAGGCTAATCTTCAATGCGCGTTAAGTTTTCTCTTCAAAATGAGTGCCCATGATCGTCAGAATGTGACTGAACAAGCTTTCACAAGCGAAGAGAAGCAGATGACATCACTGAGAGGAAAGACTAATTTGCTGGTTTGGAAGTGGTTCGGCTTTCTACGATTCGATAAACTGCAGGTTTCAGTCAGTGTGCTGCAAAATGTGACGGAGAGTCGTTCTAACTAGCGGTTGGAACATCGAACTTGTTCCACTGGACAGAAGGTGATGAGTCACAAGATGAAGCTCAATAAAAGTTTGAGCCAACATGTCCATGAAACACCACCAGCGCTGCATGTTTTTTTTTGTTTGTTTGTTTTTATCATTTATTCATTCATTTAAAATAAAAGAAATTCATCAGAAAGAAGAAAAAAATTCTGATCTGCCTCTAATTTAAAAAATACAAAATAACTACAAACAAACAACAACTTTGACTTGAACAATCTCCAAACTGAAAACAAAATAACTTCAGGTATCCTTCACCTGGTACTATACATCCCCAACAACTTTAACATCTTTTTAAACATATAAATTGTTTTAGAAATGTTTATGGTGATGTCAAGTCAATTCCATAATTCTGTTCCCTGAATTACAACACAGCTCCTTCAGACCAGTTCTAAATGGAGGTTTTACAAACATTTACATTCCATTAAGTTATATCGACTCTCCTTTTTATATATTTATTTTTTACAAATTTTAATTGAATATTTGGGGCTAATATTTTTATGAGCTTTATGCATGACTTGTAAAATACTATATTCAACCAAATCATAACATTTTAATAATTTCAATTGATGAAATAATATATTTGTTGGGTGACCATAGCACTTCATACTATTAATAATTCTTATAGCTCTTTTTTTGTAAAATAAAAATAGGGTTTGTAATTGTTCTATTTCATATGGAACAGTCATTACATTATACAATATATACAAAGCTTTGTCATTCAAAAACTATTTTACTTTATACAGTAATGCAACTGATTATTGTTATTTTTAAATATTTTACATGAGATTTCCACGTCAGCTTCTCATCAATAACGACGCCCAAAATTTTATTTAATTAACAACAAATTTCAATGCTGTCAATTTTAAAGTTGCTATTTAAAGTCAAAACTATTAATATTGACAAAGTTATGGGGGAGTGGTGGCGCAGAGGTTAGAGAGGTGGGCTTGTGATCCGAAGATCGCTGGTTCACGCCCCGGCCCCGACAACATCAAAATTGTGGGTGGGGTAGGTTAAACACCCACACTTGCCCCCACCCTCATTCGCCCCACTCTGGGCCCATGAGCAAGGCCCCTTAACCCCCACCATGTGCTCCCTAAACAGGTCTCTCTTGAAAATGAGTTCTCGTGGCTCAATGAGACTAACCTGTATAAATAAAGGCTAAATGAAAAAAAAATATATATATATATTGACAAAGTTGAGAATTTTTTGTTTATTTGACAGTGATTTAAATTTTTTTGAAGGCTAAATACAAATAAAAGGTGAACATTAATTTATTTGTATAGTTTGTAGTTTTTCTGAGGCTTTTGTATTGTTTATATCAAATTATATCGTTATCGACCGAAATTAAGAAATATATCGTGATAAAAGTTTTGGCCATATCGTCCAGCCCTAGCCGGCAATGGAGGAGGGGCGTACCAAAGAGACCATCTTATCACAAACAAAACTGGTTTGTTTCTCTTTGTTTAAGCTGTTGGGGGAAGAATCAGTTTTGTTGTGTGTGTCCTTGACTGATGAAGCCTTCCGGACCGAAGGCGAAACGTTTCAGCACAAAAGAAGAAACTGTCCAGATGACCTGACTGAAAAATGTTGGGATGTAATAAGAGGCCTGAACCTGAAAAAAACAAACAAAATAAAACAACTTTTTTTTTTAATTAAGCTTTTACTGCTTTTGTAACAAATCAGTTTGACATGATGTTTTAAAAACGTATTTCAAAGAAAGGAAGATATAAGATTTCTTGTTTATTAATATAAGATTTCTTGTTTATTAACAAGAGACAGCGGATTAATAGTTATAATAATATTATAGTTATTAACGGTCAGCGGACGCGCGTGGCTGATGATCCGGTAATCCATCTGAAGCTTAACTGAACTTTTTTTTTTTTTTACCTCTTTCAACCGGCTGGTCGGACCTGAGCGTGCACCTGACACACATCAGCAGGTTTCACTGTGCCGACTTTGTAGAGCGAGTTCTGTTTTTAGCTTTTGTTTAACACTTTCCAGCTCCATTATGTCGCTTGTTGTGGGTCAACTGCAAATCCTCAGATGTGTGATTTTAAATGTTATTACCGGTAAATAAAAAAGATTTCAGAAGAGCATCTAGTGGTCATGCTCTTGTGTTCTGAATTGTAGCTTCATGTAAGTTGTCTCCAACGAGGACTAAATTTACATCTGTTGATGTCTCCACATGGCTGTCTGCAGTTGAGATTAATGACGGTCACTGCTCAGTTTTTCTGCAAACCGGTTGATTTATGTTGTTTCCGGCCGTCCACAGGATGCTTTCCATAGACACAAACTTCCAAACGCTGAAGCTGAAGGCAGAGGACTCCGGAGGAAGGCAGCACGTTCTAAACATTAAACTCAAGTCGAAGGTGAGGCATTCACAGGAACTCGCAGCAATGGATCATTTTCACATCAGAACTATTCATCAGATGGTATACACAGCACCTCACTGACGACCTGCAGTCAGCCCTAATCACAACACGCTAACGCCACCAGCACACTGGGCTGTTCTGGTAGCTGATAACAAATCACTCATTTACATCTGTGCTTCTAAATGTGGGTCAGGCTTGAGATGGTGTGGAGAGACATACAACCTGCTGTGACTGAGATGTAACACATAAAATATGGCCTTGCAGAACGCAGCATGATGGAAACACTTCTTGTATGCAAAGAGAAAGCCAGTAACCCCACAGTGATCGACTCTGCTCACACTAAATGGATACTGGTGGAATGAGAGTGGATCTGAGTGTTAGTCACCAAACTGATTGGGTCTAATGTCCTTTGACACAGAAACACGTTTTGATTTTGAATTTGAATTGTGGCTTCATCTTTCTGTGGTATAACTCTGTTTCAACAGATATAAATATTGTAAATTATGATGATAGTGTGAATGTTTATAAAGCATTCACTCTATTATGATCCATTTTTATTCGGTGTGTTTTTTGGCGCTGTTCTCATCCTGCAGTTTTCAAGTTATTTCAACAAATCATAAATCAAAACATTCAGCTCATTCAGAACAATCCTGCTATGACATTTGGCATTGTGCGACTTTAGCTTGTTTAAATATTTAGCCTTTTCTGCAATTTTTGTTTCATAGAAAATGAATTGCGCTCATTTTACATCCTTCATATCTTTAGATCTGTGTACAACATTTTACTGCTCCTTTCACATTTTGTTCTGCTTCATCTTCTTTCAGCTTCTTTGTGCAAATTTAAACTTTTTTCAGCTAATTTCAGCTGTTTTTTCAGCTTTTTTTGCTCATTTCAGATTATTTCTGCTAACTACAACATTTTTGTGCTTCTTCTAACTTCTTTCTGCTATTTTCAGCTTGTTATGCTCCTTTCAGCTTGTCTCTGCATGTTTCAACTTTTTCTGCTATTTCAGCTGCTATTATTTAGTCGTTTTATGCTAATTTTAGTTTTTCCAGCTAATTCCACATTTTTACACTCATTTCAACTTTTTTCAACCTAATTCATCAAAAATATGCTCTCTCCACTTCCATCTTATAATTTTAGCTTCTTTCTGCTTTTTAGCTACTTTTCATGAATTTTTTGCTAATTTCAGCTTTTTTCCAGATAATTTTTTGTGCTGTTCTGCTTCTTTCAGCCTAATTTGACAGACGTGTTTTTTCTACTTTCTTCTGCAGATTTAAGCTTGTTCTACCTGTTCAGCTAAGTTCTGATCATTTTTAGCTAATTGTGGCTGTTTTCATATGAATTCACGTTTTTCATGACAATTTCTGCTACTTTCAGACTAATTAACTTATTTCTGCTAATTTTAGCTTGTTATGCTCCTTTCAGCTTAATTATGCTAGTTTCAGCAATTTCTGCTTTTTCATCTTCTTGTTGCTGATTTCAATTCAATTCAAAATTCAATTCAATTCAAAAATACTTTATTAATCCCAAAGGGAAATTATTTGTTGTAGTAACTCGTTATCCTCGTTTCATTAAGAGATGTTATAGATGCTGATGGCTGTAGACAGGAAGGATCTCTTGTAAAGGTCCATCCCACAGTGGATCCTAAGAAACTGGCTGCAGATGCCGTCCGATCCGTCCACTCAGACTCGGCTGGCCTCTCAGTTCCCCCCGCCCAAATGCCGGGCAGAACTCCTCCCAGAGTGATGGCCTCTCCTCCCAGCAGTCTGCTGAGCTCCTCGTCACTGCGGACAGCCAACTGTAGGTGCCGAGGGACAATTCTGTCCTTCCACTGTCATGAGCCGTGTTTCCTGCTAGTTCCATGATCTCAGTGGTCAGGCACTCGAGCACAGCTGGCAGGTAGATGAGAATGCATCCACAGAACATCCTTTCAACTCATTTGAGATTTTGGGCTGTAGTTGAGATATTATTTGAGCTTTTGAGATGTTAATCAGCTGCTGTTGGTTGTAGAAAACTGCCTTGTTACATGCATCATAACAAATGTCCAAAACTGAAAAAATTTCAGTAAAAATTCTTCCAGCTGCACAGCATCTGATACCAGAGGAAACAATCATCCAAAAAATGTGATTCACATCCAGAAAAAGAGGAATTAAAGTTTCCAAAAGCAAAATCTCAGAATGAAATTTATGCTAATTTTAGATTTTTCAGCCAATACTCCATTTTCTGAGCTCATTTCAGCTCTTTCTGCTTCTTTCTGGTAGTTTAGGCTTCTTTCTGCCTTTCAGCTACTTTTCAGACTTTTTTTTTTTGTTTGTTGTTAATTTCAGCCTTTTTTAGCTAATTTCCTGATTTATGTGCTCATTTCTGCTTATTTAAACCTATTTCAACAAATATGTTCTTTCTGCTTTCTTCTGCTAATTTAGCAGGAATCTTGTTCTTCCATTTCAGCTACATTTCAGCATGTTTTTAAGCTAATTTCAGCTGTTTTTCTGCAAATTCTTCAGCATTGAGCATTCACATTGCATTTTTACAGGAAATGCAATTTATCTCGTTTACATTGTTCTCATGTTCCTTATTAAAACATGATATGTTGGATTCAGCTTTGCAGACCAAGACTTGGTCATTGATTGTTCAGTTTTTATTAGCATGACAAATTCTGAGCCTGTATAACAAGCAAAGGATTTGTTTTATAGACTTGACCGTATGAATTTTAGCTTTGTCAAGTTGAGTAGACGACTTATATAAATCTGATCCATTCTCAAGCATCATATTCTATTCAAATACTTTTTTTTAAAAAAAAACATTTGTGTCATGTAGTCCATTCCTTAAGTGTTTTTGTTGTTTTATAGTTATTCGTCTGAGTCACTGGTTGCCATGGTAATTGCCTCCTTTTCTAGGGAGGAGACATGGGTGGAGAGGCACACAACACTAGGACTACAAGATATTAGAAGAACTTGCATTGTGCATTATTATTGTTTACTTTGCAAGGATTATATCAGTTGTGATTAACCCACATTTTTCTTTTGTCATCATTGTCCCTTTTTAATTTTATATTGGGGGCAATGAGACAAACAACCATTCACACTCTAACCCACGTCTACAGACAATGTAGAGTTATTGATTGACCTATCATGCTTGTTTTTGGACTGCAGAAGGAAATCTTAAGTACCCAAAAATACCTCCATATACACAGTGTGAACATGTAAACTCCACCCAGAAAGGCTGCTCTACCCACTTAGCCTCTGTGCCTCCATCATCTTGTCAGTGTCTTGTGGGATACTGATTTAGCATTCACTGATACAGTGAGGACAACACATTTAGATCTATTTTGCAGACTTACACATCATGGACAGGTAGAAACTCAACCTGAAATTTGAGCTTCATTTGAACTCTTGTTGTGCTAAAACTAAGCAGTAAAGGTTTTAAACAGCAGAAACTTCTAGTGGCCAGAGTGTAAATCACTATGGCTGCTTGATTATGAAACAAAGTCATGAACACTTTGATCGATATTGAAATCACAGTTGTTCAACATGATGACTCTTCAGTCAGAAAAGGGTGAACTGCTCTCTCCTAGTCGGGAGTGAGGTGCCTCCTCAGTTGGACGGGTCTAGGTGTCAGGGTTTTATTTGATGAGTGAGTGAAGATTGGAGCGTGAGATGGACAGACTGGTGCAGCTTCTGCAGTACTGCAGACTCTGTGGTGGTCCGTTGTGGTGAACAGGGAGCTGAGCTGCAAAGTGAAGCTGTTTATTTACTAGTCGGTCTATGTCCATACCCTCGCCTTGGGGAGGCTGTGGCTGAGTGGTTAGAGCAGTCGTCCTCGAAATGCAAGAGTTGGGGGTTCGATTCCAGCAGTTACATGCTGAAGTGTCCCTGGGCAAGACACTGAACCCCTCATTGCCTCCGACGTGTGTCCCATCGGTGTCTGAATGTGATAAAGCTCTGATTATTATTTGTATAGATCTAGTAGAGAGCTGTATGAATGGGTAAATGAGGACACAGGTTGTAAAGAGCTTTGAGTGTCTTCATAAGATAGAAAGGAGCTATATATGTACAGCCCATTTACCATTGGTCCCAGTCTCTGGGTAGAGACTGAAAGAATAATATTGTGGATACAGGTGGTCAAAATGAGTTTCCTCTGCAGGGTACCTGGACTCTCCCTTAGAGATAAAGAAGTTCAGCTCTCTGGGAGAGGCTTGAAGTAGAGCTGCTGCTCCTCCAACATCAGGAGGAGTAGTTAAGGTGGTTCGGGCGTTTGGTAAAGATGCCCCCATGACGCCACCCTAGGGAGGTTTTATGGGCATGTCCAGTTGGGAGGAGCCCCCCAGCAAGACTCAACACATGCTGGGAAGACTATGCTCTTTGGCTGCCTGGGAGTCCTACGTTTAGGAACAAGCAGAAAATGGATTGGTTACCAGCTGAGTTTGAAAACTGCATTTATGTCACTTAAAGTATGTGAAATTGCCCTAAACATATATATTTTTTAAATTTTTTTTGTTGAACTTCCCCTTATAAAAATATAGTAGTAATTAAAATGTGAGATTTTGTAAATAAAATAATAAACAATATTTATTTGACATTTTATTGTTGGATGTAACTGGGACCCTGTGTACATAATCTTGTTCCACCACATGTACCTGATGTGTATGACAAATAAATCTCTCTGACTCTGACAATATGAAATAAAATAAACTGTAGAGCATAACTACTAAACTTTAGAACCCTATTTTTGTTTTATTTTTTTTCTAAAAATGTCATACTCTGCTGAATTTCTTGTTTCTGGATGCGTTTTTTAAATTAATTTACAAAGTGTTGGTGAAGGTGAAAGTGGATATTTGCTTTTATTTATTTATTTTTACAAGGGCATTGTTCTGTTTACACGGAGGGGCCGAGACCAGCCAGTAGGGATGCAGGTCCCATTAGGACTTCGTCTTTCAGGTTCTGGTTTGCTCATATTTACAGTCAGCCATTTAAAATCATTATTATTTTAAATAGAAACTATTGAAACTTATTACATTCAGTTTTAAAACCGCACCACTTTGAGGTTCAATATCATAAATCATTCATATTGTAAATAACATGAACAAAAAAATAGGGGTTTTAAGAAAAAACTGAACTAACTAAAAGGCTGTTATTTTAAAAGTAATCGGGGCTATCATAAGCATCTTTTAGGCAGCAGGGGTTCGCAGGGGGCTCGTTGCAGCGCTGCAAACTTTAGGCATGCCGTTTGATGACTTGGTACTTACCTAGGCCTGTAATGAGGGAGGACTGTGAGATCCCACTGTCCACCTGGCCCCTCTCACCCTCCTGGCACCAGGTAGAAACAGCCTGGAGTTCTCTGTGCCTCCAGCAGATCCAGCGCCAGGTCATCCCTCAGTGGGCACAGCTTGAAGGGAGGCAGCACTGGCATGGACCCATGGAGGCTTGGAAGGCAGCAGGAGTGAGGACTGGGAAAGGACGGAAAGTTTCAGGATGTAGAAGGTGAACAGAGTGAAGTTACTTCGCACACCAAATATTGCAGAAAGTGGAGTGAATTCCAAACAAGATTTTCACATTTGTGTGTTCAGAATCCAGCCCCACACCCCCATGAAGAAACCATCAAGTAACCACGCTGCAAGCAAAGAAATATTTTTGTTAATTGTTAGATACTGATGTTTGGTAACAATATATCAATCATTGTATCACTAGCAGGGCAGCATGGTGGAACAGTTGCAGCTGCCGCCTCTCAGCAAGAAGGTTGCCAGTTCAAATCCCAGCCCAGGGCTTTTCTTTGTGGTGTTTGCATGTTCTCTCTGTGTTGCGTGGGTTTTATCCGTGCACTCCGGTTTCCTCCCACAGACCAAAAACATGCATGTTAGTCTGATCGGTAACTCTAAATTGTCCCTAGGTGTGAGTGAGACAGTGAATGGTTGTTTGTCTCGTTTGTCTCTATGTGTCCCTGTGATGGACGAGACCTGTCCAGGGTGTCCCCCACCTCTCACACAGTGATGACTGGACATGGCCACCAGTTTCACTTGCGACCCGAAAAGGAAGGAATAGGTAAAAATGGATGGATAGATGAATGTATCACTAGCTGAAAAACTAATTTTGTTCTTCATAACCTGTGCTACATGATTAAAAAACCTTTACCATTTCAACTATAACAAAGTTAGATAGAGGCAAAAACACCCTTTCAATGACATGCTTTAAGAGTTTGATCATATTTTTTCTAACATTCACATTATGAAGTTCTTGTTGGAAAAAATTCAGATTTATGTACTTTCTTGTTGTTAAAAGTACTGGTACTTGAATGTAACAAAAATCATGATTGGTAATAAACAGGAAATTCAAAAAAAAAAAAAAAACATACTTAAAAAAATATACATTTGATTGTTTAATTTAACAAAAAAAATAAAAATAATAATAATAAATATATATATATATATATATATATATATATATATATATATATATATACATACATACATCATACATACATACATACATACATACATACATACATACATACATTAGCTTATTTCCTTACCAAGGAGCTCTGGTACTGTTCTTTGAAAAGACTAGAAGAATGCACTGCAGTGAGAAAAGCTGCACACTTTCTTCCAAGTTATTAAACTATTTATTTTTAAAGTATTAAAAGCAAAAATATATACCCGCATATCCACAATAACACGTGGTGGCAGCATCACACTTTGGGTTTGCTTTTCTTCAGTTGAAACTTGAACACAATGTTGGAATGATGAACAGTAATACCTGTTTATTTTGGCATAAAACCTTCAGGTGTCTGAACTGATGATAAAGATAAGCTTCTTTTTTTTCAAACTATCAATGATCTCAAACATACATTCAAATTAACGACAAATAACTTGACCATAAAACATTAAAGTTTTGGATTGGCCTAGTCAGATCATAGATCTACTTTTGATAAAAACCTGTGGGTGATATGAGGCCAACAGGTGATTATTCAACCATTCAGTATCTTCTGCTTGTTCTGGAGTCGGGACATGGGGGCAGCAGCATAAGCAATAAGGCCTAGACATCTCTTTCCACAGCCACCGCTTCCAGCTCTTTTGGGAGGGCTCTTAGGCGTTCCCAGGCCAGCTGAGAGACGTAGTCTCTCAAGCATGTCCTGGGACTTCCCCGGGGTTTTCTTCCATTGGGACATGCTCGTAAAACTTCACTAGGGAGCCATCCAGGGGGTGTCCTTACCAGATGCCTGTGCCACGTCAATGAGCTCCTTTTGATGTGGAAGTGCTGCAGCTCTACTCTGAGGGTGTTTTCACACCTGATAGTCTGGTAGACTCTATTCATTTGGGGACCAAAATTCAAAATTTTTTTACATTTTCAGCTGGTGCGGTTTGCATTCATACTGCACTGAGTCAATCAAGCCAAGCTGTTTCCCCCTTCGCCTGTGGTGACACTGCACCAAAAACTACACAAGGAAACAACACAAAAACCTCTGAATAAGACACTTCTTCTTCTGGAAATAAAAACAAAAACGGAGTGGCGTCAGATTTGAGCAGTTTTAGGATGTCTGTTTTGTCATTTTTCAACCATGGACTCAGCATGAGCAGAATATGAGGCAGAAGACCATGGAGAATGTTGTTTTTCACACAAGTGGCTGACGGAAATGCACGTTCGTTTGTCCTGCGCTGTAGTCCACTTCCTACTTTTGGAGTGGTCTCTGGTCCGCTTGCATTCACACTGCATTCGAACCGCACTAGAGTTCACGTCAACCAAACCGAGACCTAGGTTTTTAGGCGGACCAGAGCTTGCTTTTTTGGTCCACATCAGAGTTCAATTGCGCATTCACACCTCCACAAATGAACCGGATTTTCTAGGCAATCTGACTAGAGTTCGATTAAAGCAGACATAACAGAGCTGGTGTGAATGCACCCTGAGTCTCTCCCAGATAAATGAACTCACACTATCTCTAAGGAAGAGGCCAACCACCCTGTAGAGAAAATTCATTTTAACCACTTGTATTTGCAATCACGTTTTTTTGGTCACTACCCAAAGTTTGTGATCATAGGTGGTAGGAACGTAGACCGAAAGGTAAACGGAGAGTGTCTCCTTGCAACTCATCTCCCTCTTTAGCAAAGCAGACCGGCACAGAGTCCGTAATAATGTAGAGGTCGCACCTATATGTCTGTCGATCTCTCTCTCAATACGTCTATCTCTCGCTCCATTCTTCCCTTTCTTGTAAACAAAACCCTGAAATACTTGGAATGTCTCCACTTGTGGCAGAACTTCACTCCCACCCCAGTGAGGGCAATCAACCCTTTTCCGACTGAGGACCATGAGGTTTTGATCCACACCCCAGCCACTTCACACTCTACTGCGAACTGCTCCAGTGAGAGCTGGAGGTCATGGCACCATGACACCAGCAGAACTATATCCTGCCAAAAGGACCTGAAGCTGCCAAACCAGACCCCTTCTGCCCCCTGGCTGTACCAAGAAACTATGCCCATAAAAGTTATGAACCAAATCTGTAATGACAGGCAGCCCAGGCAGAGTTCAACAACTTGACAGCCTCCCTCACTTGGGATGTCCACCACCAGATTTGAGAATGTCTACTGCGAGAGCCAGCAGCCTCAATCCAACTCACCACCAGGTGGTGATCAGTTTTCAGCTCAGCTGCTCTCTTCATCTGAGTGTTCATAGCACACAGCTGCAAATCAGATAACACAACAACAAAGTATATCATCGATGAACAACCTAGGCGGGTGTCCTGGCGATAGACAAACTGCGACTAGCACAGAAGTCCAACAACCAAATATTTCTGTTTATTTATTTTAACATTTATTTATTTGTACAGGTAGTATCATTGAGTCACAAGGACTCTTTTTCAAGAGAAACCTGTTTGGGAGCAGATGGTGGGGGTTAAGTGCCTTGCTCAAGGGCCCAGAGTATAGGGGCAAATGAGGGTAGTGGCAGGTGTGGGTGTTTCAACTTTTCCACCCACAAATTGATGGTGTCGGTCCAGGGGAGTCGAACCAGCGACCTTCCAATTACAGGCTCACCTTCTCTAACCTCTGCACCACAACTCTCAACAAATACTACTCGAGTTCAGATCAGAGAAGCTGTTCCTCCCAATTACGCTTCTCCGAGTCATACTGTCATTGCCGGACATTGAAGTCTCTCAGAAGAATAAAAGAGGCCACAGCTGGAACACCTTCCATCACTCCTGCTAAGGACTCAAAGAATGCTGGGTACTCTGAACTACTGTTTGGCACATGGGCACAAACAACAGTCAGAGCCTGTCCCTCCACTTGAAAGTGCTGGGAATCTATCCTGTCATCTACTGGGGAAAACTCAAATGCACAGGCACAAAGCCTGGGTGCTATAACTAGACCCACACTAGCTTGGTACCCATCACCATGGGCAATTACAGTGAGGAATAAGGTCAAACCCCTCTCGAGGAGATTTGTTCTGGAGCCTCAGCATCAAGATGAGCCCAACTATATCTAGTTGGTACATCTCAATGTAGATGTAACTGGGACCCTGTGTACATAATTTTGCTCCACCACATGTACCACATGAGGTGCGAATGACAATAAAGAATATCTGACTCTGACAGTTTGTCTCAAGAGCCAGGTTTGCTAAGCCAGAGTCATATCTCATGTTTTCTACCCACAGCATCCCATAGAGGCTCCTGAATGTTCTGCTGACCTGCCAATTCCTTTGAACATCAACTGGACACCACAGGTATGTACACAAACACAGACATTTCCTTTTAAGTTTTTACATGGCTGTTTCTGTGTATGGATTGTTTTCACTAGATGCCAGTGTGGGTTGAATCTTTGGTTGGATCTTTAAGGTGTTCTGTGGTTCCTGAAGTTTACTAATGTCATTGGGATGCAATGATAATTTTATCATATTGTAGCAATAATCTACGGAATTTTCATTTTTCTGGTTCACTTTTATTGATAGCAAATTTCCTGAAGTTCTCAATCAAATCAATCAACCTTTATTTATACAGGTAAATCCCATTGAGCCTCGAGGACTCATTTACAAGAGAGACCTGAAAATGAAAATGAATATATGAATACAAATGAATATACAAATGAATATACTAGTACTAATGTATAAATTTATTATTTGTTATTTATATAGATTTGAACCATTGGGGGCTGCAGTAGGTAAGTGGTCAATGCTGCGATCTTGTAATCCTAAAGGTGCTTGTTCAAGGCCAGATTGCATCAGGAAAGGCATCTGGCATAAAACAATGGCCAATTCTTTCATATGAGTTTGTTTGTGAAAATCCCCGCAAAGGGAAGCAGCTGAAAGAACACCAAATTTTGACTTGTGAATTACAAGATTGTTTAAGAGATCAGGCTGACACACACTCTGAGCATTTTTTGTATAATAAAGTAATCGTCTTGTTAAAGTTTGAAACTCAGTGCTCTCATTATCTTTTTGAGTAAACCAGAGTAAATTGTGAATTACATGATTGACCAAACTTGAAATGAACTACCAACGTTCAGTTTGCAGAATTACTCCATTCGAGTGTAAATCATGAAAATACAGAAAATAACGTGATGAGGATATGTTCAGACATAAGTTAAGCCTTTCGTCCAAATATTTAGTAAGTAACTTACCGGTAGTATTATCTAGATTAGGAACTCAGTAGTTGCATCTTAACAGAAACTGACTTAATCAACAGACACAGTCATCGGTGGGTAATTTTACACTGTTACTGAGTTTATTATAAAATAAAAGGTTGCCAATTGGTACATCCTATTAGATGAAGCTTTTGTCCTTGGGTACTCATGTCCCAAGAGAAATTTGATAGTCAGCCTGTCTCCGAGGCTGATGGGAGTCAGATTAGATAAGCTTGATTTTTGTTTTTTCTTCAGGCAGACAGATTTTTTTCCTTCAGCCTTGAGTCCATCTGGGCGTTCTGGTTCCGAAAAAGCCTAATTGTGGTGTTCCATTCCACTGATCCATGCTATGAGTCTCCTTCAAGGTCGAACCCACCACGCTGACGAGTCTCAGAAGCCGCAGGTGGTCTGCGATTCTCAATCGCCTCCACCTTATGGTTAAGCTCATAGACCAGACAATTTGAAGTTCCCACAGCGAGGACCAGACCTTCACACTGACTCTGAAGCTTTTCCATGGCCAAAACTGCTGCCGATGTCTTTTTCAAAAGTCGATAAAACAGAGCCTCGCCGATGCCAAAAAGCAGAGTCCCTGCTATCATAAGTCCAAATATGTAAACGTCTTCAACATCCTCCTGAGACAGAACTGAGAGGCACATCATCTGCCACACTCCCCACGAATCCATGACGTACCCCACAGCGTGAGTCTCAGCTGGACACGCCGGTTCTCCAGGACCTTGTCGCTTTGATGAAAAAATCTTATCAATAGAGTTGAACGCCCACGATACCAAATCCATAATCTTCTTAATTTATGTTCGGGAGATGAGACCCAGGCGCTTCAGACACACAGAGAGCAGAGCAGGAAGAAGGAAAAAAACAGGGGAGGAGAAACAGAAGCTGCCACCTCGATCAGAGCCTGGGAGGAAAAAAAAAACTACATTGTCCTTTAAAATTCCATAAAATATTTTCTTCCCATGTAAATTTGATCATATTTTTAAAAAAAATTAAGCCAATAAGCCCTAAAATTGATAGAAACTAAACTGAAAGTGTTTGAGATGCCCAGCTGCAATTTTTGAATGAAAATTTTTGATGAACATGTTGCGTATTTCATTGTTTCATAAAACGACACACACAAGACCTCTCCCCCTATTCCCAGCCAAACATTTTTAGACATTTTATAAAAGATTTTGTTGACGTTGTTTGCCAACTAGTCTCCAACAGCCACAGTCTTGTGAGATATTACCCTAACTAGAGCCCGACCGATATGGAAATTTTGGCTAACACCAATACCGATATTGGGAGTGAAAGGTGATCACCAATAACCGATATATTGTCTGAAAATGTTTTAGCTTTGTCCACTCCCAAGAATCTAAGTAAACAGCGAGTGGAGCGGGGCTTGTTTATTTAGCGCAGCTGTTAGCAACCATGAAGCTAAGCTAATCAGATCCACGCTATACGTAGTCCCACAGTAGCATTACAAGTGTTGCACTGGTCATAAAAACAGTCTTCCTAATGTGCGTTCAAATTTTCTATCCTCTACTAATCACCAAAAAGTTATGACGTGTGTTACACAAATAATTAAACAAATAAATGCCTTCCCTGTTCATTGTTTAAACAGTCAGTCACGTATGGTGAAGGTCTAATTAGTATTGACATCAGCAACATTTATTTTTCTTTGCAGAGAAGTAAAGATTTCAGATAAACAATGCATTTCAATGAGAATGACAAAGATAACGTTACTAACACTGGATATTTTCACAAGGTGGAAGTTCAATCCAACAGGACTGTTGCTATAACTACTGACAACGGGGCTAATGTTGTGATGGCCGTGCAACTGAACACTAACTTTAGCTTGCTAACTTCAGAGGCACATACAGTAGCTAATGACAAGAGGTTGGAGGATTGAAAATACACTGCCTGGCCCAAAAGTTGCCACCTGAATTTAACTAAGCAAATAGGTACGAGCCTCCTATTGGATAATTATTGCATGGACAATTATCTTTCAGCTGGCAACAAGTTATTTAACCCCAACTGGTTCAATGAGTTGCTTCCCATTTCTTCAACAACCATGTTGAAAGACACATCGCGTGGTTGTGGAAAAGACGTCAGTCTGTTTGAGAAGGGTCAACTCATTGGCATCAAGCACAGAAAACATCTAAGGAGATTGAAGAAACTACTAAAATTGGGTTAAGAACTTTCCAACGCGTTATTAAAAACTGGAAGGATAGTGGGGTCCCATCATCTTTGAGGAAGAAATGTGGCCAGGCAGTGTAATTTATTATTGTTGATTTTTTTATTTATTTTATTTTACAGGTCAGTTGAAGTAAACTTACCATGCTCTGTTCTGCAGAATATGTCACACAGTTGCTTTCTGCTTCGTCTGTGCTGAAAGTGAAACTTAAAGTGAATGACCATGAATTGAAAGTAGTCTTCATGTGCCCTCTGCTGAATACATTGTACGGCTGGTTCCTGCATTTTAGGGGTGAAAATTAGAAATGTTTATATTGGTGCATAATGGGACAATTTAGTGCATATCATCATAAAACATGATGCGAGTCTAACAACGCCAAGTTTTACAACATTTAAATGCACTATAAAAGAAGCACTTTGCAACTATTTTAAGTCAGTTCAGTGTGACCTGTGGCCCTTTGGAAAGGAAACTGAAAGGCCACACAGATATACCTGACTCATCCTCCAAACTCTTAATATGAGTAAACACACCTGCTTGGAGACATTTCGTTAGCTCCTCATATTTAGTTCATTTTAATTAGTGTAGAAGTGCTTTCATATAAAACCAGCTGTGGACTCTTTGGATCCCTTTGACTTGTTGTTTTTCATACTGATTTGTTTTTTTACTTTGATGATGCTTCTCTTTTGAGTCAGTGTTTCACACCCATACACACAAATATCTAAGCGTAAGGGTGTGTGTTTCTGTTCCTGATAATAAAGTTCACCTCTGAGATCTTTCGAGAGTGACGAGCAACGTGCCGAGTATTCTCAAACAACTGTGTATCTGTGAGGTTTGGGCTACAATCAGGGAGGGGTTGGGGGCAGATAGAAGGATGATTTCAGGAAAGAGAAGCTTGTGTGAATGTGTGTATGTGTGCACGCTGCAACACGACAGGCGTACAGTGAGGACCAGCTCAGAACCGAGCAACAGGATGGAGTCTATCTGCCTGCTGGGCTGTTGATGGATCTCTCCCACACTGCAACATGATGTGTGTGTGTGTGTGTGTGTGTGTGTGTGTGTGTGTGTGTGTGTGTG